AAAAATGTGGTATATTTACACAATGGAGTATTACTCAGCTATTAAAAACAATGAATTCGAGAGGTTCCTAGGTAAATGGATGGAACTAGAAAATATCATACTGAGTGAAGTAACTCAATCACAAAAGAACATACATGGTATGCACTCACTGATTACTGGATATTAGCTCAGAAGTTTGAAATATCCAAGATTCAACTCACAGACCACATGAAGCTCATGAAGAAGGAAGACCAAGTCAGGGTGCTTTGGTCTTTCTTCGAAGGAGTAACAAAATACTCATGGGAGCAAATATGGAGACAAAGTGAGGGACAGAAACTGAAGGAGGGGCCATCTGGAGACCATTCCACCTGAGTATCCATCCCATGTGCAGTCACCAAATGTAGACGCTGATGTGGATTTCAGGAAGTGCATGCTGACAGGAGCCTGATATAGGTGTGTCCTTAGAGGTCTGCCAGAGTTTGACATATCCAGAGGCAGATGCTCACAGCTAACCATTGAACTGATTATAGGGTTTCCAATGGAGGAGTTAGAGTGAAGACGGAAGGAGCTGAAAGGGTTTGAGGCCCCATGAGGAGAGCAACAATACCAACCAACCAGAGCTCCCAGGGTCTAAACCACCAGCCTGGGAGCACTTAGGGAGGGATCCATGGCTCCAGCTGTATATGTAAGGGAGGATGGCCCTGTTGGACATAGGTGGGAGAGTAGATCCTTGGTCCCATGAAGGCTGGACGCCGTGTGTGTGGGAATTCGAGGGTGGGGATGTGGGAGGGGGGTAGGTAGGGGCACATCTGCAGAGAAGCAGGAGGAGGGGTGAATGGGGTAAGGGGATAGCATCTGAAATGTTAATAAAATATCCAATAAAAAAATGAAAAAAAAATAAAGAAAAAAAAAGTTCAATTGCAATCTTACATCTTTAGAATATCCCTCAGTCAATTTACCTGGCGTAATACAGTTGGAATCAAATCTGGCTTCTGTAGGAAGTGTTTCTCCCTTTTCTATTGCTTTTTTAATTTTGTCTTCTGCCTCCTTGGCTGACCTTAAAAGTCAAAGAGAAAAAGTATCTTACATTTTCTATAAAATAAACATTTTTACACAAACCATTATTTAGTAGCTTTTACAAATAAAACAAAGTTGTCAACTTTATGGTTCAGAATTTATATATATGTATATGTATGTATATACTTCTGTTTAGACAGAGTTTCTCTCTGTAGTCTTGGCTATTCTAGAACTAGATCTGTAGACTGGGTTGGTCTTGAACTCACGGACAATAGCCTATCTCTGTCTCCTCAGTGCTGGGATTAAAACTGTGCATCACCATGCCAGGGTAAATTTTTAAAAATAATTATAATAAAAATGAGTAAGTCCAGGAATTCCTTGCTTTTATTTACAGAATTGAGGTTTTTCTTTTTTAATGTGAAGACTATTGAAGCTGGACATTAAAACAGTAAAAAATCACATAAATCATTACAAACACTTACATAATCACTTACATAATTCTAACATAAATATATAGCTAATTTATTCCAGAAACAAGATCAAAAGCTTCAAGTGTCAATTATGTTTGCCATATTTAATTATATCATTTGATTATTTTAATATTTTATTAATCATCAATGATATGAGTATACAGAATATAACAAAAATAACTTTAGGTTTTAAAGATTACACTTTACAAGGGAGGTAATAATGAATAGCTATGTTTAGTCTAGCTGTAACATAGAAAAGATTACTAAGGAAAGGTAAGGAAAGACAATGCAAGCATCCTCTGAAAGACTAGACTCTGCAAAGATGATGACAACATGTATAAGCAGGCTGTAGATGTAACGAATGAAGACATAAGAAGGAGCACAAATCACTCTTAGACTTTGGGTGGGGCAGCTCATCACACAGTATGGCAGCAGAAAATTTAAAGGAAAACGCTGCTTGGGGAAGATTAATTCAGTTCTGAACATGGTTAGCCTTCTGGTATTTAGGCTATCCAAAAGGAGGCATTCAGCAAGCATTTCAATACAAAGGAACTAGGGAGTGAGAAAAACACCATAAAGATAAATTTGGGAGTCATTAGCACAGACACAGTAATCAAAGTCATTAGATGTGATCACTTAGGGATCAGGATATAGACTCAAAGATGTAGTTTTATTATTATTATTATCATCAGTATTTTTGAGACAGGGTTTCTCTGTGTAACAGCCCTAGTTATCTTGGAACTTCCTTTGTAGATCAGGCTGGCCACAAACTCATAGAGACCTACCTACCTTTGCCTCCAGAGTGCTGGTATTAAAAGCATGCTACATCAAACCTGGCTTTCAAGGAAGTTAATTTAATGATAACTTAAGAAGAAAGAAGCAGAGAAAGGAAATATGATAGAGTCAAACATGGCACAAGCAGAGCAAAGCCAAATGAAGGTCATGAAAAGAAATTCCAGAAAGAAAGAAGGATGAACACTGATACTGTGGGCAGAGGAAGCAATGCAGACTTATTCTTTGGAGTAGGACATAAGCCTGAGCTCTTGTAAGGAAATTTTAGTGGCACAGTATGGATAAAATCCAGAAGGCAGATTCAGAGCTAAGACATTAATGATTAAAAAGTATGAAGATGCTGGGGGACTTTCTAGGAAACATGGGACTCTTGGTGACAGTCTAACATTTACTATATGTTTGTGATAGTTAAAATGGAATAGTCCTCAATCCCTAGCCAGTATTCTTCTATACTTCTGATACTGAAAAGGTTATGAAGTTAAAAACAGATAGAGCTGCCAGGCTTTCCTGAAGTTAGGTTTCTGGAAATGAGTTGATTTTTGTTAGTTAGATGGCTCCATAAAACTTTGGGAAGGAAGTCTGATGATATTAATGTGACAGTTGAGGCTCTAGGGCTGCTGGGGGTGGGGGCTCAGCAATGGGAGAAGAATGACCAGAGGAGAGGCCAGCACTTAGTAACTCGCTGCTATGAAGCAATGAGTAGGGTATCTATTTTGTCTAATATAGAACTAGTAGACAAAGCTAAGATACACTGACACCTTCTGGTGGCTGAACTCTCTATATAGACCAGGCTAACCTTGAACTCATGGAGATCTGTCTCACAAATATTGGAATAAAGGCACTGCACCATCAGAATCTTAACATGAATTTTTATGCTAGTGATTCCCTAAAACTAGTTTAATAAATACTATGGCAGTCTAGTATAAATATTTTTTTGAACATGGAGATTCTAATTAAGTCAACTCTTTAAGTAGTCCTTAGAAATCTAAATTTTCGATTTAAGAAAAACATCTTGGGCTGGAGAGATGGCTCAGCAGTTAAGAACACTCACTGACTACTCTTCCAGAGGTTCTGAGTTCAATTCCCAGAAACCATATGGGGGCTCACAACCATCTATAATGGGATCTGATGCCCTTTACTTATGTGTCTGAAGAGATCAACAGTGTACTCATATACATAAAATAAATAAATCTTTTTAAAAGAGTGCCTTTGAATTTAAGGGTCTCAGTATTTTCAGCATTTTGGGACTGTTTTCCTTTTAATAGTTAAATCAATACTCTTCACCGTCTTTTCCTTGGTCTCACTGGGAGTTCTCCCTAAGGCACTGCCCCAACTTTTCTGACAACTCCCACATTTGATGCATAAACAGTTCTGTTATTCCTTATCCTGCCCTATGTTTAGAGGGTCTTTCATTATGCTAATGACTCACCAAACACAAGTTTATAGTTCAGTCTCACTGTTGTTTAGATATGGCCTACACATGCAGAATTTTGATTTTAAGGCTCTTTTTATCTCTAACCCTTTTACTTCGACACAGTGGTAATGATGATGCCAAGTTCCTAATTGAACTTTCTTCCAATAGTCCATCAATTACTTCTAATCTCATTTGCCTTACTGCCCAATTAGGGCCCATATTTACTCAAAATCATCATCTAGACTAAGAGCTGGTCATTCAATGAGGTTTATTGAATGGTTGTCATTAGACGAACCTCTTGGTCTACTCTGCAGTACTACATCAAGGTAGATCACCAAGACCTCTACTTTTCAGATTATCACATCGAGGTTGGAAACTTGTGACTGAGAACAGTGACTTTATACGAAATCCAACACGAACTTGAGATACGATGAGTCATCAAAATTACTGGTTATTACTTGACTAGTCAAAAGCGATATTAAGTAATATAGCAATTACTTTGAGGATTTAAATAGAAAACAAATATAAACAGAAGATGCACTGTATTTTGTCAACTGTTTTACATGATTACCTAAAACGCCTCCCACGTTGCTGGTTCATTTTTGCTCGAGGAGCCACACCGTCAACAGCCATAAAGAACACTTTCCTAGGTTTAATAATTCGAAACAACACCTCCAAGTAGTGAAAAATATCAGTAAAGATTTTATCATCTGAAATTCTGAAGTGAACATCATCATCATTAGGATGGGAACATTGATGTATAATTCCATTCATATCCAGGTACAGGTTATCAAATTCTGGAATCTAAAAAGCAAAAACAATATGTTCCAGATTATTAATTATTGTAACTATTTTCATGCCTAAGAAAAGTGATTCTTCCATAGTTCAAAACAGAAATCAAGTCAAACCAAACCAAGCCAGGATGTAATGTATTCTGATTATATAAAAACTCCAGGGGTCCTCTTTCAGAGATCCAAGTTTGAATCCTAGCACTTAGATGAGGCTGTGCACAACCATCTACATCTCCAGCCCGCAGGGACTCAGTGCTCTCTTCTGGCCTCCTCAGGTACCACATGCATTTGTACAAATGTGCAGACACATAAACATACACATAGAATTAAAAATAAACCTTAAAAAACTTAAATAATTACAGTTGAATAAAGCAGGTAAAGGAAAGCAAATAGAAGGAACTAGTAATAGAGACAAGTTATGTAGTGGCCTCATCAAATTTACTATGAGGAAATTATTTATTTAAATTAAGGAAAATACCAAGTCTTTACATCAAAAAACTTAATAAAAGAGTATTAAAAAATTTTACAAGAGATTTAATTTTACATTTAGTTCACTCAATCAGAGCCATTTACTTGGTAAGATTAGTTTTTAAAAGCTTAGATTATGAAGCTGGGCAGTGATGGTGCATGCTTCAGATCCCAGCACTCAAAGGAAGAGGCAGGCAGATCTCTTTTGAGTTGGAGGCCAGCCTGGTCTACAGAGAGTTCCAGGATAGCCAGAGCTACACAGGGAAACTTTGTCTAGAAAAACAAACAAACAAACAAACAGACAGACAAACAAACAAACAAACAGCAAACGGTCAGGTTATCTGTAAATGGAGGCAGAAGAGATGACCTGATAACATTAGAAAGTCAGACTCTTGATGTCACTGTGGGGCTTGGTAGTATTGGGGTCCAGGAGTTGCCTCATAGACCACAGGAACACTGATCTCAGTCAGACAGCTCAGACAGGGATAGTTTATTGAGTATTCCCCCAGGATTGATGGATCAGGGCTGCAGGACAGACTTGGGAGCTGACTGCAGTGCTCAGTTAGAATTCTATAGATCTTTTAAGCTTGAGGTCCACAAATATCTGGGCCAAGTTATTTCACCAATCAGGATTTATGGATAAAGGATTTCTTTAGGCACATGTCTTTGTTGTCCATTTATCCTGCTCCCATTGGCTGGGGTATTCAACTGTGGCAGGGCACTTGCCTTGCCTAACGTTTATGTCTTAATTTGCTAATCAGGATGTCAGTTCCTAGGAGGTCTAGAAAACTTAAAACTTTACTCGACCCTTACTCAAAATGGAAGTCTTATTCTAAATAGGTGCAGGTGTCTCTCTTATGCTGGGGTCCATCCTAGAGGAAGCTTATAAAAGTAAAAACCATAAAAGCTTATACAGAGGTGCAGGAAGTACTACCTGGTAGTTAGTTCAGTTGTGGGTAAGTATACAAAGCAGTTCTAACTTATTCTATTGTGATTCTTTCCCAAGAATACAGACAATAACAGAATATGCAACCAACTTGGGCATGAAAAAGTTTCTTAGTAACAGTTGTAATAACAACATAAGTTTCCTTATAACATTAGTAACAACACAAGGTAGCAGGCTAGATATGTAACAGTTACCTAGGCCTTAACAGCAGGGGTAGGTGACAGCCTGTGCTATCTACTTTTAAGATCTTCATGAACTTTGGTTTTCATTTATTTTTGTTTTAAGTAAGTAATGGGAACACTATTGACACAAATGTACAATAACACAAAGCTAAATGGCTGTAACTAGCCAGTTCTATCTAGTATAATCAAAGAATTTTTGCCTAGCCTCTTTTATATATTAATTAAAGAAAATTAACTTGAATTTATTTAGTAAAAACCTGCAGGTAACAATATATTTGCTTGTTATTGAAAAATGACATGCCTTGTGAGGTTTGAGGGTAGCAAGTTTTAAATCGTTAAACACTGCCAAACATTTATCTAAAACTTCTACTTTATAGCATTAAATAAGTACCCATATAAGCTTTTGGGACTGTCTCCGAGACAACAAATACTTCAGGATAATACAAGTTACATTTACATCTGGCACTCAATGTGGTTAGAAGAAAAAGACGTGATTGGAGAAGAACAAAGCCCACCAACATTGCAGAAAGCAGAGAACATCTGACAGAAATGTCATAGAGGACAGGAGACATCTAACAGAAAGCAGTGGGGGCAGAAATTCACCCAATAGAGCATCAGTTCTTTATGATCTGCCAAGCCAGAGAGATTCTGGAAACTCCAAGATGGGGGTCTCCAGCCAAGAACAAGGGATGGTGTAGGAGTCTCTGTGACAGTGAATCACAGTAAGTCACCCCAAAAGACAGTTTTAGTTACATAGACAGCCTCCTCAGGACCTGGGTGCTGGGAACTGAATGCCAGTCTTCTGAAAGAACAGGGGGCATTTTTTTACTACACAGTCCTCTAGTCCCAGAGGTTTAGCTATTTTAATAGCATTGTGCTAGGTCAAAGAGCTATACAGCTCTAACGATTTATGATTTAGTTGTATGATTTTTGTAAAGAAGACAGGTCAAGAATATGTGTTTACCTTCTTTCCTTTCTGGACATCCACCCTATGGGAAGTCTCAGACAAGCACAATTTTCTACTAAGGAGTGATTAGGCTTGTATTAGTGGATTTTAAAAAAGGAAGGAAGGCTTTCTACACATTAGACAACAGCTATCCCCAGGGCTTCATGCATATTAGTCAAGTGCTATGCCAGGAACTACACCTTGACCACAACTGCTATCTCCTCCCTTCTCAGTGTGGTGCTACTGGCTCTAAAACCAAACCAGAAGCTCATCCACAATGAAATGGAATGTAATTGTCAGCAGGATAGGCCACAAATGTGGCCTCTGTCAGCAGTGTAGCCTGAAGAGTTCTCAGAATCTTGGGGACATCTGGGTCTTTGCTGTCCACCATAGAACAGAATTTCCTGATGAGTGAGACTGAAGCAAAGTTAAAATTATTTTATCAGCCAGAAAGACAAAAGGTACTGTGGACATCCTGAGAAGAATGTCTGCAGAGCAACATGTGTGACTGGAGGCTTGATGGAGGTTGGTCTGGTGCTACTATGTATTCTAATGCTAAATACTAGCCCCTAAGATCTGGTTGCAGTCCAGAATAAGCACTTTCTCATGTACACCAAATGATGTTGTGTAAACTTTGCTCGGTTTTATTCTCTAACTGGTGAAATAAAAGTGGCTGACAGCCAATTACTAGGGAGAAAAGAGGTAGATGGGCTTTGGTTCTCTAGCTGGGGTCATAGGTGAGGGGGAGAGAGGGGGAAGAGAAGACGAGAGGGAGGGGAAGGGAGAGAGAGAGAGGAAGGAAGGAAAGAAAGGAGGGAGGGAGAAACGACAGAGAGAGCAGGTTTCCATTAGCTGGGATAGACTAGAAGCATGTGACTAAGGGCAGTACTCCCTGAGGACAGACTGATGGAGCATAAACAGGCAAAATTCAAACAGTAAGTAATTTGGGGAACACAGCTGAGAAATAGCCAGTCTAGCATAGAAAAATATTTTAGGGATTGTGATAGCTATTCCTGGTTGTCAACTTGACTACATCTGGAATGAGCTACAATCCAGAAATGGAGGGCACGCACACCTGTGATCCAGATCTTGAGGTTGGAAGACACTAGTTTCTGACCTGGATCTTGACATGGAGATCTTGAGGCATAGTGGCCATGAAAAGCTTAGGTCCAGGCAAAGTAGTATACACCTTTAGTTCCAGGAGACTGAGGTAAGCAGGTTACTAAATTCAAGGTCAGCCTGGAACAAAGTAAATTCCAGATCTAGGAGTGGGTGCACACCTTTAATCTGGGCCACACCTTCTGCTGGAGGCCTACCTACATAAGGACATTGGAAGGAGGAAGATTCTGTTGGAACCTACTTCTACAGAAGACCAGCTTAAACAACTAGCCTTACAACTAGGTGTTCTTGTCCATGCTTCCTGTCTCTTGTCTCCCTGTCTGTCTGATCTTTTGGCCCTGGTAAAAACATAAATCATTTGGCCTATAAAATGCCTCATGCCTGACAACCTAAGATGGATTCATGGAACTCACAGTAGAAGCACAAAACCTGACCCCTGAGGATTGTTCTCTAACCTTTCCAATATGCACCATGACATGCTCCCACATTCCCACACGTGTATCATTCATAATAAATACACAGTAATAAAAAGTTGTTTCCCCTCCAGCAGTTTTGGGACATTAAACTCTGCAGCCACAATCCCAGCCTCTGCCCCTCTCTCCCCCTTTTCTGTGGTACTGGAGAATTAAACCTTAGAATGTCATGTGGGTTAGGCAAGTATTCTACCACTGAGCTAGCTATATCCCCACTGCTGTTTTGTAAAGTTTTTACTGTGAAATAGTTTCTCTGAGTTACTCAGACTGTTCTTGAACTCATTCTGCAAACCAGCCTCTAGAGTAGTTAGGACGCCAGGTCTAGGTCTTGGGGTGGGGGAACACATATGATATGACACTCAAGTCTTTGTTTTTTGGGTGTGGGGCAGGGGCAGTGTTTCTCTGTATAACCCTGACACTTGCTCTGTAGACCAGGCTAGCCTTGAACTCATTGATCCATACGCCACCACTGCCTGGCTCAGTCTTTGCTTTTATTGAGATAAAGTCTTACTTTGTAGTTCATGCTAGCTCTGAAATGGCCATCTTCTGCCTCAGCTGCCCTAGTGCTAAGATTACACATGTGTATCACCACAGCTGGGTGGGGGACGTAGCTTGTATTCAGGGCTGGAGAGATGGCTCAATGGTTAAGAGAACTTTTTACTCTTGCAGAGGACCTAAGTTTGGTTCCCAGCACCAACATGGTGATCCACAAATCAACTGTGACTCCAGTCCCAAGGATCCACGACTCTCTTCTGATCTCTAGGGGCACCAGGCATACAGGTGGTATACAGGTAACACAGTCATATACATAAAAATGAAAGAATCGAGCCAGGCGGTGGTGGCGCACGCCTTTCATCCCAGCACTTGGGAGCAGAGGCAGGCGGATTTCTGCGTTCAGGGCCAGTCTAGTCTACAGAGTGAGTTCCAGGACAGCCAGGGCTACACAGAGAAACCCTGTCTCGAAAAAACAAAAAAAGAAGCTGAAAATAAGAACAAATAAAGGTATGTCATTTGGCCTCAATACTTTTTAATATTTTTTTGTTGTTTTCTTATATGAACTGACATTTCTTGCACTTTAGAATGAGGAGGCGTCAGAAAAGCTTCAATTTGACAAGCTCTTTCTTTTGCAGAATGTTTTAAAAAATGGTAGTGTATTTTTAAAGATCCCTTGACTCTAATTCTTTCTTTCTCTCTTTCTTTCTTTCTTTTTGGTTTTTCGAGACAGGATTTCTCTTTCTCTGTATAGCCCTGGCTGTTCTGGAACTCACTCTGTAAACCAGGCTGGCCTCAAACTCAGAAATCCGCCTGTCTCTGCTTCCCAAGTGCTGGGATTAAAGGTGTGGGCCACCACCGCCCAGCTAATTCTTCCTTTCAACCGGATAATTTTCTTCTATGTTTCTAGTATCCCTTCCATGATAACATTTATTTTATTCTCAGCCACCTCTCCTTAGGGCATACTGTGCCGCATAATGGTCCCTTGGTAGGCCAGCTTTGAATGTACAGGTGAGATACTGCTTTTTCTTCTGACAGATCCTTCATTCAGTTAGTCTTTAAAAAATTAACACCCCCCCCCACCTAGTTTTAGGTACTGTTATCTAATTGGCTAGTACAGTCCTTATTGAAACTTACAGGGTATTCTGGAGTTCTGTTCACAAGTTCATCACTGTCTCTTGGTAGTTTGCCCTGTTAGTAGTATTTTGACTCAGTAACATGGGGATACTGTATCACATGAATTGTTGTAATTGTTTTATAGACTTTATCTAGTTTCTCTTTCTATTTTCATGTGATGACTCAAAGGATGAGTAATTGTGCTGATACCATCCACATTCTCCTCCCAAAACATATAGCTCCCCATCCTCTCCCTCTAGGTACACTCCTGTTCACCCTGGCACCCACAGGAAACTGTTCTTCATTTAGTTTTGTTGTTTGTTTTTTTTAGGCAGGGCATCTCAGTGAACCTGAAGCTCACTAATCAGTTGGACTAGTTGACCTGTGAGCCCTCAGGCTCTGCCTGTCCCTGTGCTCTAGTGCTGGCTACAGGTGCTCTATGCTACTCCTGGCTTTTATGTGGGTACTTGGGTCCTCCCCTCCTAGTCTCCCTCTTTTGGTCTTCTGTTAAATAAAATATTTGTGAAAGCCCTAACTTTGATACATCAAGTTTCTATTTATGTATTTATTTATTTTTATGTATAGGTGTTTTGCCTGGTCTGTGTACCATGCTGTGGAACTTGATTTACAAACAGTTGTGGATGTTAGAAACCCAGGTTCTCATAACTGGGGCTCTTAACCACAGAGCCATCTCTCTATCCTCTGTGTGTGTGTGTGTGTGTGTGTGTACATCTGTCTGTCTATTTACCTACCTCTGCCGGGATTGAAGGTGTAGGACACCATGCTCCACTGATGCAACAAGTTTTAAAGTTTACTTTCAGTGTAATTTTAAAGCAATATTTACTTTCAATTTTTCAATCTAGTGTAAAACTTTCACAAAATCTATCTTGCTTTCCGAGTCGCAATGTTGCTTTAAAAGATTGTTTGTTTTTGCAACAATCCAAGATATTTTAACCAAATAAATGTCTGTGACCAAAGAGCACAGAATGAAAATGTTATTGAACACATTAGATGCTATAAAATATTTATTGGATCAAAGATCTTGAAAAAGGCCGGGCAGTGGTGGCGCATGCCTTTAATACCAGCACTTGGGAGGCAGAGACAGGCGGATTTCTGAGTTCAAGGCCAGCCTGGTCTACAGAGTGAGTCCCAGGACAGCCAGAACTACACAGAGAAACCCTGTCAAAAAAAAAAAAAAAAAAAGATCTTGAAAAAGAAAAACAATGTCTCCATTTTCATTTTTCTCCCTGAAAAAATACCATCTAAATTTAACTCCACCAAATAAATACCATCTAAACTTAACTAAGTAGAAGACAAGTCAGCATTTTAGAACTTTTTATAAGACTTCTTTTATATGCCAACTATCATATCAAAACTTAATAGCAAAAGAATTATAGATATCTTAAAAAAAACCCATATAGTTGACAAATCCCAGTATTAATACAGCACTACTTATCACAAGTAATTTAATTAGCTATACAAATTTCAAAAACGCGGCTTTTTTTTTTCTGTAAACCAAAGTCATTATCAAAGTCATTCAATGTGACACACTAAATTATCATTCAAAGTCTAGTTTACCTATTAGAACATTTGGTTTCTCTCCTCCGTCATTCAAACATGCAAATATATTCTAGTATATAAACATACAAATACACACTTTAAGAACTCACATAAAGGCTGCTGTGGAGTCATTATACACTAAGTATTAGTAATAATGTTTTGAGGTCTTCCTGTCATATCAAAGCCTTTAAGCATCATCCTCCCCATCCCTGCGCTCCATCTAAACGTTTGTTCGTTTAGACAATAGGGGGTCGGTACTGTTTGGGGGCTAACAGGAGCATGAAAAAGTATCAAAAATCTAAGACACGAGCTAGCTACAGCAACCGGTCCAGGCGTCGAGGTTAAATGCAGCTCTTCAAAGCTGGAGTACTCCGCGATTCCACCACAGGGACGTTATTGCTTGTATACCTTCTGTTGCTTTGCTAGGGATGAGGGACCCCAGACGTCCCACACAGCTTCGCAGCCTAAAGCGAAGCGCCAGGTCCAGTTCCCAGGAGGACAGAAAGGACTCATTAAAAGCCTTCCTACTAAGGGCTCCTTTGGAAGTCCTGGAGTGCTCTCCCAAGGGGGCGCAGATCTGCGGCAAGCCACTCTGACCTGACCTGCCTCTACCCGGTGCGGCTCACCTGGAGGCCGCCAAGGCTAGGTTCCCCCTTCTCTTCCTCCCGTCCGGCCGCTGACCAGCACCACAGGCAGCTGGAAGGCCGGGGTCCCACAGCGCAGAGAGGCCCGCGGGCCCGCTTTTTGCGCCGCGGCCTGAGCTCACCCACCTGATGCTCCTTCACCACTTCACTGAGGCAGGGGTACCGCTCCGAGATCCATCGGTAAAACTTGGGGACTCCCATTTTGACCGTCGACACTAATTCCAGCCGGTGCAGAAACGAAACCAAACGCCCCGCCCGGGCCTCCGCCGCCGCCTCCGGCCGTCGCTCGGAGGATGACAACACAAGGTCCGCCAGACCATAGAGCAAACCGTGGGCCTAGAGGGGCAGGACGGCGCGGGTGGGCGGTGGGTCCTGTCTATCCCGCTGCCTCTCTACTCTTCCATACTCGGTGGTGACACCGCAAGAGGCATGATCTGTGCATTAGGTGAGCTCAGGTTTACGATGCCAATTGATTGAGGTGTGGATTTGCAGATGGTAATGAGAACGTTTAAGGGACAGTTGGTTAGATTTAGGTTAACTTGAGACATGGCAGAGTCGTTGGGAAGGGAAACCTCAACTGAGAAAAATGCTGCTTCCAGATTGGCCTGTGGGAATGTTTTGATTAATGATCAATGCGGGAGGGCCCATCTGATTGTGTGCTGCTGCCACCCCTGGGCCGGTGGTCTTATGGTATGTGAGAAAGGCGGAGTGAACAAGCCAGAAAGCAATGGTCCTCCATAGCTTCTTCGATTTCTCCTTCAAGTTCCTTTGATGGTGGGCTGTGATGTGGAAGTGTAAGCTAAATAAACCTTCTCCTTCCTAAGTTTTTTTAGGTCTTAAGTGTTTATAACAGCAATAGAAACCTTAAGTAAGACAGGTATTGGACACTGCATTTATACTGAGGTTTGCCCCCTCCTGGGATCGTTAAAATCACTATTTTTCAACACGGACTTGAAAAGCTCTAGTTAGTTTGTGAGGGGAATAATTCTCTGAGTAATATAAACCTATAAAAGAGGTTTTGTTTTTTGTTTCTAGCTTTTAAGAGTTTTAGTTTTCCTCTTTCTTTTATTATTTTATTTACATTCCAGATTTTGACCCCCTTCCCGCAGTTCTTCACCCCTCCTCCTCCTTCCCAATTCTGAGAGGATGCTTCTACACCCGCCCCCACCTCACATTTTGGCTGTTATCCCCATTGAGTCCTGATAGCCTCTCACATCCCGTATCTCTGTGACTTTCTAGAGGTTCCCTTTGCCCCTAACCTCCACTGCTGCATATTTTGATCCATTTTCTCGGCCCTCTGGGCATCTCTCCTGTCTCTCCCCATACCTGATCCTGCCCCTCCTTTTTCTCTTCCCTTCACTTCTCTGACCCAGTTTCCGTCCTCTGCCTCCCATGATTATTGTTCCCCTTCGAAGTGGGTTTTAGGTGTCCACACCTGGGCCTTCCTTCTTGTTAGGCTTCCTACGGCCTGTGAGTTGTATTATGGGAGAGAGCAATCTCCCACCACTTCAAGACTCTGGGTTACTCCCCTCACCCACAATTTTTGATACTCTGTTTCAAAACGAAGAAACCAACAAAATTCAAAAAGCCTGTTGTGGTCACCTAGGAGGCATTGGAGGATAAGAAGTTAAAGGTGATTCTCAGGTACATAGCAAGTTTAGGGATATCCCTGGTGATATGAAAGGCCATCTCAACTCCAAAACTCATAAATCTGTGTGGCATGAAAGTTTGAATCTCAGCACTTGAAGGATGGAGGCAGGAAGATCAGGAGTTCAAGGTCATCCTCACTTACATAAGTTCCAGACTCATCTGCCCTACATGAGAACCTGCCTCAACCAAACAGGACAAAAACTATTATGAACATTTCTGTTCCTGTTTTTATTATTATGTGACTTTCCTGACAGTAAGTACTTCAGACGTTATTGGATTCTTTCCTTTGGCATTGCTTGTCTTCCATGGTTAGCACTTGGACAATGTTCATCTTTAGTAAAGAGATCTCTCCATATAGGTGGCTTCAGTCTCCATGCAAAGACCGAAGAGAAGACTCATTATAGAGAGAAGATGCGTTCACATGCACTTTCTCCTCTTAATAGCTACAAACTCACACAAAATACTGCTTTATTTATTTTATTTTATTTTATTTTTTGGAGACAGGGTATCTATGTATGGTTGGCTATCCTGAAACTCTATGTAGACCAGGCTAGTCTTGAACTCACAGAGATTCACCTGCCTCTGACTCCCAAGTACTGAGATGGAAGGTGTGCACCACTACACCCAGCTTTCTTTTTTTTAAATTTCATTTTATTTATTTTTTATTTATTCACATTACATCCCGACTGACTCCCTCCTGGTCACCCCTCCTGCAATTCTTCCCCTATCCTCCCTCTCCTTCTCCCCCTACCCTGACACTTCAAGTTCTCTCCTCTCCCACTGAGTCCAGACAAGGTAGCCCAGCTAGAATATATCCCATTTACAGGCAACCCAGTTTTTTTCTTAAAGTGTTTCCCAATCTCATTGTCTTTATACAGGTTAGATTTATAAAAATATTTTGCATAGGAAATGAAAATCAGGTTGAAAAATTATAAAGCATTGACGTTGACCTGCTGTGAAAAGACACCATGACCAAGGCAACTCTTAAAAGGACATTTAATTGGGGTTGGCTTACAGGTTCGGAGGTTCAGTCCACTATCATCGAGGCAGGAAGCATGGCAGCATCCAAGCAGGCTCAGAGTTCAGCATCTTGTTCCGAAGGCAAACAGGGAAGACTGACTTCCAGGGAGCTATGAAGAGAATCTAAAAGCCCACGGCCACAGTAACACAGCTATGCCAACAAGGTCACACCTCTTAATAGTGCCACTCCCTGGGCCAAGCATATACAAACCATCACACATTGTATTTAGAAAATGATTCTTAAAAAAATATATTTATGGGGAATGGATATAGAAAATTAATACATGTGTATATATTTTCATTAATGAAGAAATTATATCTTTTGTAGGAAAACTGATGCAAGTGGAGATCATCATATTAAGTAAATTAACTGAGTCTCAGAAAGATAACATTTCCTTTCATATATGGTTCTTAAATTTTATATAGCTACTTAAAATCATGTATGTATATGTGACATGAAAGCAGAGACAATACTGTTCAAGGAAACGAAGGAGACTGAGGCAGGGGAACAATAGGAAGTGGGGAAGGAATTTGTTCAAAGAATATTATGTATTTGTTTGAAATGAACCTTATGTAATCTAGTACAACTAAAATACATCAATGAAATTAAACATGTTTATATGAATAAAATGCTCAAATCAAAATGGATAAAAAGCACATACATGCATGCCCCCAACACACAGAGTATCTAAAAAGATATTCTAATTATCCTGTCCTTAACTGTTTGCATCAAATCTGAGTAGGAAATTATATGTTCAGTTTTCACATTTATGCCTTCTGGCTTATTATGGTTTACTTCATTATACTTTTACTTAAAGGAAAAAATAAGGCAGAGTTCTATTCAGCAGTTTCCCATTTGACTGTAATAAATATTACTTTACAATTCTTTTCATTTTAATCTATTAGAAAATGTGCAGAAAACATCTAAACATATTAAAAATTTTAGATTTCAAAATCGTATACAATTTTAAATATTGGTGTTTTCTACAACTACTGTACTGGGTATTGTGGCACATCAACAGTGTGGTGTTTTTAAATGTACAGAATACTGGGGTTAAGATGTGGCTCAATGGCAGAACATATACTTAGCATGGTTCAGTCTTCAGTATCACCAATAATTACACAGCTGATTTAGTTTTCACATTCATATTTCTTGAGTTTCTCTTCTTTGATCACATTTTCACATATACTAGAGCTTTATGAAGTGAATTTAAATGATAAGCTGTCATTTCCTACAGGGCAGAAGAGGCAGCTCTGGGTACATGTCCAATCCAGTACTAACATGAATTCAATATAACTTTGTTGCTATTCCAATGAAATCTTATACTAATACTTTGAAAAGGAAATTGATATAAAGTATAAAATGAAATTACGTTGGCTGCTTCCTTGCAATTACATTATTTTTTGATCATGAGAATACATGTTTTATATTTCTAGTTAGACTAAACATGTTCTAAGAAATCAGTGTTTAATAATTAAACCCATTATTTTAAATACTGTTAAAAATCACAGAGAAATATTAATTTCTCTAAGAATGTAAGTAAATGTATGTTGTACTTTAGAATTAAAGGCAAACCACTGATTAATAACATGGATTTCAGATTATTAATATATTCTTTGAAATAATTTTATTTTACATATATGGGGTCCAACCAAGGTACATCTGGCAGAGTAAGTTTTCATCTGTAGCTTCTTGTATGAGGTAATGTACATGTCCTTCAATAGATAATGGCAGCCCTGTTACTCTATTTCGGGTCTTGATTACACCTTGTAGTCGTTGTTCAATGTCAAGAACATGGGTCTTGGCCTAAAAAAGATACAGAAAGTCATTAAGGCTACGGACCCAATACAATTTGGAGTTTCTACTTTTCTCACTTAATGTTAGCAGTGTTTGACTAAACAATATCCCATTGTAAAAATGAAACAAATCCAATTAACTTGAGATCTTACTTTGATGTGTACAATGACTGACTATGTACTAATGGGACGTGTTTCTGCAATATAAAAACCACTAGGTAGCTCTGCACATCATAATTCTAGGAAAAGTAATAATTTGAAACATCTGTTTTGAGGGCAAGAGGTATAGTTCAGCAGTGGATTGCCTGTTTAGTAGACAGGAGAGCCTGGGGTCTATTCCCTTCCACTATCAAACAAAATAAAACAAACAGAAAGCAACCTATTTTGAAATGTCAGTTCCTAAATATTTTAGTGAAGATTCTAACAATGGCGACAATGCTTTAATAGTAAACTTACATTAGTGCATGCAAATGGAATTTTAACTACTTGGGATTCTTTACATCTCTCTTAAGAAAAAGCATATCAGAATGCAAAATCAAGAATGATGTTATTAGAAAAATAATTTCAGACTGCGGGATGAGTCTGGGATTTGTTAACATTAGTTAAAGCATATACTTAGCATATGCAAAGCCTTTGGTTGAGTTTCAAGCATAAAAAGAAGGTTGGGGGAAAAGGGAGTCTTCAGTGTGTATCTGTCAACTCTGAGGTTTTAACCAAACTTTAGATTTCAGGGTAAATCAATTATTTTGGTCACTGATAATCTCTGGAGTCAATTTTCACTTAAAGAGAGAGAAACTATTAGCTCA